TGTGCGGCAGAAACTGAGGCACTCAGAGTCTTCTGCAACACTTGCAACACTTGCCACATCTGCCGCAAAAGAGAGTTTATAGAATATAGAATTGAAAAACGATTCAAATTCTATTTGGAACAACGAATTGCACTACGCGAACCGCGATTAGCCAGACTTTAGGCCGTCTTCTGATCGGAATAATTGTTATCTGTGAAAAGTGGCCGCTTTCGATGAACTTCCTTAAATAGATTGCGCCAATTGGACAATAGCTCTAAATCAAGTGGAACAGTATTGAAATATGCAATGCCATGAAACAGCGGAGAGCATTAAACAAATCCGAAGCATATCCAAGAAACGACCGCACCCGCCAACAATAATTGCCGCACAAATCCAAACAATACAAAAGATTGTGTTTATAGAAAAAAAAAAAGAAAACTAATAACACTGTAATCGAGTGTGCTCGACTTCAAAATACCCTGTAAATTATGGGACATAAAATATGTATACTTTTGGACATGGTAGTTAACCATAAGAGGATATAATGCGAATCGGTGCTTACCATTCGAAAGCCTTTCTAGCTCGTATAAAAAACAAAACTCAAAATCGATTTTTATCGATAGAAGACTTGATATTGACAAAGACTGATAAGTTCGTCTAGGATATGGCAGAGAAGAATATACAAATTTCAAGGCTCATGATCTTGTAGTTTCCGAGATCGACGCGATGATACAGACGGATCTGCAAAAGAACTTAGCTCGAAGTCCTGATCATGTTCGGACATGCCCACTTCTGGCTGCAACAAACAGTAAGACAAAATGAATATACCCATTTATAGCCATGTGTAATGAGCACAGGGTATATCAACAGCTTACATAACGAGTAAAACAATCGAATTAGTACAGTTGGAAGATACCACGTATCACATTTTATGGCTCATCGCTTAGTCAGTCACCGATTCGAATATGAGTCATGCATACCCTTCCTAACAAGCACTTTGTGTAGGGTATAACAAATCAATTTAATCCAAATACTAAAACGCATAAGTTTTTCCGAAAAAAAATAAAAAACGATTTCGCAAAGAAACCAAACGTACAAAAATAAACAACGCGGAGCGTCCGAAGTGGCCAAGTGGCTACTCAAGAACCGCCACCGGAGCCAAAGGTGGATACACACGGCCACATGCGCGGCGGCGAGCATGTGGGGGGAGTGTGGGGGGAGCGGCCTCATTAGCTGGTTGCGGGAACCATGCGAACCATGCGAGGGCGGAGGCGGGGGCTGGGTGCTTGCGGTCTGTTGGGATCATAAACTAATCAGGCGCGGCATAAACAAATAAGTTTTTGTTGTTTTGCGCTGCTGGAAAAATCAGTGTGAGAAAATTTGGAAGGCGAGAGATTTCAAATCGAATGCGACCTTGTTGGAATTTAATTTCGAAATGCGTTGCGTGTTTTTGACTTTTGTTTTTCTCTCTTCTTCTTCTCCTATTGCCATTGTGAATAAGCACGCGAAAGCGAACCATTTCTGGCAAAAGCTAATTTGGCTAATTTGGGCCTGGCCAGAATAAAAATATAGTCACTGATGCAAATCGGAAGCCATAAATAAACATATACAAATTTCCAATATTCTTGGCACTTGTTTCATATTTTTTTTCTATTACTTTTGTTTTTTTTTTTCTTTTTTTTTGCAATATTTTCACACATCAACAGCTGCCAAGCGAGAGCGGAATTTTTCTCATTTTCTATTCTTTGCGTATTTTTATGCCACCATAAAGACAACAACAACAAAAACAAAATAACGGAGAAAGAACACAACAACAAAAAATAACAGAAACCAAAAGAAGGCGCAAAATTTTCGCTCAGAATTTTTATGACAGGCTGTGGGCGGGTGGGGCGGTTGGTGCGAGTGTCTGGCGGGGGCGCGGGCGATGGCGGGCAACATCTATTGGTAGGGACTGTGTTGCCTTTACCAGCTGCCCGCTGAAGTGCTTCAAAATTTACGAGCCGCACACCCCCCCGCCGCCGCCACCACCACCCGCTGCACACCAACATTTTATTGAATTTTATTTCATTCGCCAAAAGTGAAGTGCCGAAAGTCTTCGTTGTTGTTGTCGGAATTCTGCTGTTGTTGTTGTTGTTGTTGTAGCAGTAGCCGTTTTGCAATTTATTGCTTGCAGTTACGAAATTTATTTCTGTGTTTTTGCTGTAAATTTACAATTTTGTTTTGCGGGATTCCACTCCACTCAACTTCTGCAGGTACAGCCCCGCCCGCCCGCTCGCTCACTCGCTGGCCGACGGACAGCCTTACAGCAGCATAGAAACCTTTATTCTTGCTATTTTTCTGCCTTACTTTCGTTCGTTCTCTCTGCCTTGTGTGTGTGTGTGTGTGTGTTTGTGTGTGTAATTCGTTTCGGCTTCAATTGTTTGGCAATTGTTTTTATAACGCCAGCCAGCAGCAGGTAGATGAAGTGAAAGAGCAAATGTCCAAAGATAAAGTTATGTAAATTCCATGCGTGTGTGAGAGAGCGAGTGAGAGTGAGCGGGAGAGGAAGGGAATTAGAGAGCGCAGCGTGGACAAATGCAGTAAACTTCAAAAGTAGGAAATAATAAAATTGACCCAAGACTTAAGGACTTAAATTTATGGATTGTGGCACACAAGCAAAAAGGGATATTCTTTTATTATCAAAGTAAAGCTGCCTAAAATAAGTTTATTCAAATTATGTTAACAACATGAACTTTAAAGACAGGCAATCTGTTATGTTAATTAACAATAGAAGTTAACATGAACGTTAAACTTGCTTAACTGCAACTAATCATATTTGATTCTAGATGCCAGACTTGACAGGAAGTTTGACAAGCAGCAAAAGAGTTGTTGGGCCCAATAAGCAGAGGTAGTCGCTGGGATTTATGTGACAGGCGGCGGCTTAAATGAAATTTGCCAAAGCAACAAACGGGCAAAATCAACGACAAAGGAAAAGGCACAGGGAAAGGCGGAGGGACGGACGGACGAAAGGATGGGATGCAGGCAGCGAGCAAACAAGCCCAGAGGACAACAGGCAAGGGGACGCAGGAGGGAACAAAGCCGAGCGCTGGCAATTGTAACCAAACTCCACTCGAAAACCCTAACTCGAGAGTTTTTCGAGGTTTTCCTCGTTTTCTCTATCTGACGCCGCAGCCGCAGGCGTCGCATTTGGAATTCTTTAACATGCGGCCGGGAACGAGCCTTGGCTTGGTTCGGTGGAAAATGCGACAGGGGACGGGAGACGGGGCATTGCGTCGCATAATTTGCTGGCTCTATATTTTTTTATTGTTGCTGCAGACGCTTTTATATTTTATTATTAAGACAAATAATGGAAAAGCCACTCGCTCAGCCGGAAAAATCCATGTTGCAGCTGGAGAGAGAGAGAGAGAGAGAGAGAGAGAGAGAGAGAGGGGACCCAATCTGAATGTCAACCCATTTGTCGAAAGTCGAATTCACTTTGCCAGCGATCCGGGGACTCAACGTGGCTTTTCTCTAATTTGTTTAATTTATGCAAAATGTTGGCGATAAGCGCCGCTAATTTGTACAAACTTGTCGCAAGTTTTTCACGGGGTTATGAAAATGCCACCAAAAACGAAAATGAAAATGAAAATGCGCTGCGCCATTTTCATTTGCCAGCTCGCTAGCTTCATCCAAAGTTTCCCCTCGACGCACAGCTTAAGGGGCTTAACGCGGCCAGCTTAGCCGAAATAATTATCGAATTTCAATCGAAGCAGGGCACAATGCATCCAATTGGCGACTCGCAAATGAGTTTACATTCTTATTGGAATTATCACAATTCATTTGCGAAATCACAAAGTCCGTTAAATAAACTGCTTTCACGACTTTTCTTTGAACTTGTCAAATGAAAACCTTTTTAAGCTAGAAGGACAACTTCGAAAAGTTTAATTGACAATCTTACAAAACGTAGAAAAAGTTCGTGAATAGAGAAATTCTGAATACAAAATTTAAAAATAAATCAGAAAATAATCAATTTTTGGCCTCAGAATTAATTGAAATAAAAAACATTTTAACTAAAATAATTAAAGGGGGAATTGAATCAACAATTTTATAGAGCTTCTACAACAAATTTAATAAAATTGTTTAATTAATAACTAATTGTTGCTTATTTAAGATAATCAAGATGGGTTTAGAAGTTTTCATTTGAAACGCAAAAAATAATCAAGATAACTAACATATATAAAGTCCATATACGACTTTCCTAACGAACTTTTCTCTAATCGGAAATGAAAACCCTTTTCAGGTAAAATTTATAAAGAAGGAATTATTAAAAGTTTCATCGTTTCATCTTATAAAACTTTTACGATAAAGTTGTCTAATATTAACCTATGAAGATAAGAAATTCTCATTCTAAGCACGAACAAAGGTTAATTAATGGAAATTAAAAAAATGTTGAGCTATTATTATCAAAGGAGCAACTAGTCGAAATACTATAAAATTGTTGTCTTAGAAATTCGCATGCGAAACTTGAAAAAATATTAACACAGATCTCATTTATAGTTAAAGTATTGTATAGAATAGTTATACATAAGATTTAAAAGATTTCGAAAAGTTATTCGAAATTCGAAAAGAATGCCTAAAAATGTAAGTTTTGAATAAATATAGAAATACTTTAATAGATCAAACATGGACCATTTCAGGGCATTCGACTTAAGTCTTGGAATCCATAATTTATTTTCTCATTGAAAATGCTTAAAAAGTGTAAACATATTTTAATTATTATTATTTTAGGCTGTTCAAAACATTTAAATGCACGAAAAATGCATTTTTGTTTTTCACAAATCTCAAACGAAAATGAAAGAGAATATTAGACAAAAGGAAAGCAAGAACAAAAGGAGGAAGAAGCACACACAAATTATGAAATAATTGAAACTTAATTTGAATTGAAAAGAAAAAACAATTGGCCGGGGCCGGGGCCGGGGGAGAGGATTTCATGTGATGCACTGCAGCAACCGAGTCAAAGTGTACCGTTCTTATTCACTCACCTTGTCTGCCGTGTGTGCGCTGGGCCGTTGCGTTGGCTGCGTTATCCAGTTGACGATTCGGCAAATGCTGATACTCGTAATCGTAGTGCGAGGACTGCTGAGCGGCGGCAGCGGCCGCGGCTGAGGCAGCGGCTGCGGCAGCGGCGGCGGCGGCGGCGGCTTGTAAATTCTGTTGGTTTTGATGCTGGAGCGTTTGGCTGTGCAGCGGGACGCCGGAGGCGGTGTGGCGGCCGGTCATGGGCAGGGTGCCGGGGCAGGGGCCGCCGCCCGCGTCGCGACAGTCGAGCGTGGACTCAAACTCGTAGGGATTCATTGTGGTCGACTCCAAAGGACATTCGTCGTCGTCGGTGTCGGTGCCACCGTCGTAGAGGCTGTCCGTGTGACGGTATGCGTGATGCTGGCTCTGCTTTGAGAACTTAATTTTGGCGGCTTTTGCGGGCCCAGAAAGCCGACACTCGGTACAGACAGACGAAATAGATGGCGAGAAGGCGAGAATGAGTAGAGTAGGAAGAGTGAAACGAAAGAAGGGACCAAAGGGAAGTCAGCTCCGTCCGCTCTGTCCGCTCAGGGAACTGTTAACGCTTGATGCGGCGACTAGCAACAATTTTTCACTGCACTTTGCACATTTTATCCAATTCACTTTGAACTTCAATTTCTTGTTACGCTTTTTCTATTCGTTGTAATAATTTCTTCTATTTTGATACTCTTTACTTTGCGCACATTTTGGTTGTCTTTCTCACTTGTGTCGGCACTTGTCTTATGCCTGCTTCTGCTGGCGGCGTTTGCTGCAGCGAATCATCAACAAGAATCAACACGATCGAAGAGATTTCACAATATTTAAAATTGATTTTGGTTTGCAATTTTTGTGGCCAATTTACTGTTGCACGAAATCAATTGAAAGACACACGCGATAAACGCGACAAACAAAAAGGAGAACGAAAAGGAGACCACGAGTCAGGCAGGACAAGACGTTTACTTAAACATACACACAGGTGCGATTGCGGAGCAAGCGGTAAATTTCTGTAGTAATTTTCGATTGCGTTTGCTTTTGCTTTACGCTTCAACTTGAGCGTCGAGTTCGACTTCGACGGTCGTTTGTTTGTTGCGCGACGGCCGCGTGGCGTGCGGGTCGGCTCAAATGCGAAGTGAATTCAGCGAGCGACGATTTCAAACTAACTTGCTCGGAGCAAATGGTTCTGTATGCTGGCGCACACAAGCAAGAGCGTTAGCAAGGCATTGTGAAAGAGAGGGAGTGCGAGCGCGAGCGCGACTGAGACCGAGACCGAGAGAGCGCATGCAGTCTTCGTTCAGTTTTGCCACTCAAAGCAGCTGAGCGCATCGCAGAGCGCAAGTGTCGTGGGAGGGCTCTGATGCTGCGTGCATTGTTGTTGTTTTACTCGTTTGACTGGTCTGCCGTCGCTGAGAACGCTCTGCGCATGACGTCGCTGCCGATGCGCCAGCAGCGCTGCCGCCGACCCCAAGCTGCAAAGCGCTTAACGAAACTCTGCTGATTAGTTTTGAAGGTTAAAAAAGTGCGTTGAAGTTTTGGCAAAGCTTGCCGACAACGCAGGGGAAATATTTATATGTATGCGCTTAGGGGTGCTAACTGCGCTCACAGTTTCGTTCAAATTTATCTGCTGCTATTGACTTTTAACAGTGACAGCAAACAAGGCTAGCATAACAGACGACGCTAACGGCAATTTACATTGACACTGTTAAATACGTGTGTTATGTTATTTCTAACAGAACTCAAATTCTAATGTGTTTATTGGCCAGATATCCAAACAATTTAAGTTGCTTAAATTTAGAAATTCAATTCAATTAGCTGACTCAAATTTCTCCCCCCACTTAATTAGGATTTGCAGTCACCTATGATTCCGCTGGAACAAAGCAAATCTCATACAAAAACATTCTCCCATAAGCTGTCACACTCAAAAAAAAAAAAAAAAAACGCAAGGGAAAAGGAAACAAAAAATTCTTCAACTTCATTAACGTTGCAGTAAAGTTTTAGTCCAAACGCGTTCTGGACACAATGCAGCGAGAGGAACAACCGAAAAACTTTGCTTAGCAGCCGAAAAATGGGCAACGCAGATTCACAAGGGGCAAGGACAGGGGTGTAGTTGACTGTGGTAGGGAGGGGGCAGGGGGCTGTACGAAAAGTTTAAAATGCTGACAGTGAAGTTGTCATTTAGCGCCGAAGCAGCACCAACAACAACAACAACAACAACAACAACAACAGCGACGGCCGAACACAGTGTGTCCAAAACTCTGGCTAACGAAGCAACAGACAATGGACAGGCCAAAGAGAAAGAAGCAGAAAATTGCGTTATAAGCAAAGTAAAGGACATTTCGCTAATGGCTTAACTTTTGAGCAGGTTTTTGGGGGCCAATCCGCATCCGCATCCATACGCTCGTGTAGCGGAAGTTGTTGCTGAAGCTTTTTTGACAGCTTTGATGCAACCGAAGAAGAAGACCAAGCAGAAGAAGTAGAAGAAGATGTTCTTTTCACGGAATGTGGCAACGCCGCATGACACGCTCCAAGCCTGAAACTGAAATTATTTGCGTAGCATTTGCAACTGGTTTTTCCGCTTTTCCGTTTTTCCGTTTTTCCTTACACTTGCCTCAGACTACTTGCGCTCCGCCCCCGCCTGCCTTGCACTGCTGCTGTCGATGAAAAGTCAATTTCCTGTTGTGCACAAAATGTCAAGCATTCACCAGCTGAGCCCAGAGACTTGGCACCAGCCCGAATCGCTTGCAACTGACACATTGCAAATTTTGTCACAAAACAGTCGAGCGTTTAGCACCCGGATCCTTGCGAGGTCACAGGATGACTTCCTACAGGACTATCGAATTGTCTAATGTGTGAGAGGGGGAAGACGTATTAAAAGTTGACTGAGTCGTCTAGCTAAACACTAAAACTGGAAGCTTAGGCTCTTCAAGTTCAAATTCTATTTCAAAAGATCAACATCGCGAGAAGAAGCAGCAGCAGAGGCATAGTAGGTGCTTCCAGAAAGGGAAGTTCAATTACAGCTCGATTTACGTTCAAATGCGGGGTAACTGCTAGTCGATCACATTCGAGTGCAGCTATTATTATTATTGTGCTGTATTTGAAATTTATTTAAACAAGGTACGGAAATCCAACTCCATGCTAAACATATTAAATTCCGCAGCAATTCTCATAACTAACACAAAAATTGTTGGATTTTGTATTAAAAAATTGTACAAAAAACTTTAACTATTCATTTTGCTAACAAAACTTTAAATTGTTTAATTTATTAAAACAGTTTTTTGGCTTTCTTTAAATTTAAAGAATTTAATACAAATTGTAGCCAAAGTGGAAAGGTTTTATGGCTTGCAAATTTACCTGTATATAGCTTTTGTCTAGTCGTGCATGCCCGACTTGAGTCCTTGTCAAATATGCATTTTATTGAAGTTTTTGTTTAAAAGGACCTTTACGTTTTATCAGAGTTTCGGTTGCCCAACTTTCCCAGATATCGAATAACATTAGTTTTCAGAGAGCCTTTTCAATGGCAACATCTGTGCTCCCAGTCAATTATTATAGTCGTTCCTTTAACAGTTGACTCTGCTGCAGTTCGAGCACAAAAACTTGCTGCCAAATTGACTTCCCGTTTGGCCAGAGCTCAAATTTCTAACCAGGGGAAAAAAACAAGAGGAAAGGCTTCCTCTGCGTGCGAACCACACAGACTTTGCACATTTGTTGCATTTCAGCTTAATTTTGCAATTACTCTTGCACTGCCCCATCCCCCCACCACTCTCTCCGTCTCGCTCTGCCTCTGCTGGTGGCACACACATGCACTTGGTGTCCTGTTTAAGGACAAACAACAGCGCGTTGTCCTGCCTTGTCTTTTAGCCTGCACTTAAATCTACAGCCAGGAAATTTGATCAGCACTTAAAATCTGCGGGCAAGGGGTGATGTGCAGAATGAGGGCGGCAAGGACTTTAAAAAGTTGCAACAACAAGTGGCACAAATAGCTGCTGCTGCTGCTGCTGCTGCTCAACTCTTGACCCGCAAGCTTTGAACTCTCGGCAGCTTTGAACTCTCGCTGAAGCCACAACAACAACCAAACGTTGCGGCATTTCCTGCGTCAATTTTCACATTATAAAGAAAACAAAGCCAACAACAACAACAACAACAACAACAATCGGGGGAAAAGCGGAAACTGGCCGAAAGGCAACGCCAGCCATTGGAATGCAGGTCATTTTGGGCGCCGAGCGCGACTCCAGAGCGGCTCATTTTGCAGCCCAGTTTGCAGTTGTTGCCACAATTCCAGCAAATGTGTGGCACATACGCATCCATATGCACACACATATACATATATATATATATATATATATATATGCATGTATATATCTGGATATGTGCGTGCAGCTTGCAACGGCCAGCGATCGAAGTGTACGCAAAAAATGTACGCATGGCATTTTCTACGGCGGCCAAAAATAAAATAGAGTAGAGAAATTGAACAGGACACGCGCAAAAGGACAACGATGAAGCGTACAGAAGATGGCCAGCGCTGACAATGAGTGGCAGGCACTTTGTGCCCCAAAGAGGGCCCCTTCTACTTACTCGCCGATAGCCATGAGAAATAAAATTACGCCAGATATTGAATTACGCTTTTTAAATTACAAAAATATTTTCGCGATTGCATTAAACGAAAGGCGAACTAATTAAAGGGGATTTCGCCGCTCTGCTCGGTCCATTGTCGCGCAATCCAATTTCTGTGCTGCAAATGAAGTTCTGAAGTCCCGGCCTAAAGTGCTCCATTGTGCCACAAAGGCGTATCCCGTAATGGCTGCCAGCAGGCAGTTTTACACGCTGCTCAACTCAATCTTCTGACCAGGTCAAGAGCTGCGAAAATTCCCAACTGACTGGGCAAATCGTAAATACAATTAGAAGCCAAGGCATAAGCATGTGTCGCTGTTGCTTTTTCCATTTGCCTGCTTCATTGCCCCTTTTACACTGGCCGATATGATGCGTTGATCCGCTTGGAACCTGCCGCCATTCAACAGCTGCCACTTAGACAAAGGACGATGTTGCATTGAAAGAATTATGAGCACTTGCCACAGCCACCCATGCCCGCCACAGCCCTTGCAACTCGCGCAGTCTGCGGGCGGGCGGCGCGCCAAACAAACAATGCATCAATCAATAAAGATTTCCGCACCTAATAAGAGGCGCCTCTCCCTGGGCCATCATTGACGCTGGTAACCAATTAAACGCCAAGAGTCGCCGCCGTTGCCTGCGACCAAGGTGTTAATCGAATTACAGCCCTCTGGCGCATTCCCCCTCAACATCACCCATCCCGCCGCACAGTTAGGAGCAGCTGCCTCTGCCACGGCTCCATTTTCATTGTCAGCATTGCTGTCGTTGCTTGCGTTTCCATATTTTCAAATTTGAATTTTCTATTTCGCCAGAGTCGCAGCACGTCGACACTTTGTGTGGCCCAGACGCATTCGACTGGTGGCTAGCGGCTGCTCCGCTTCATGAATGTGCTCGTCAAGAATATTACGCAATGTCGCATGGAAAAGCTACTCTTGAAGTTTCTATCGAAATTGGAGTACCAGCTGCGAGTTACAGTTTCCACATCTTTCACGAGCTTCTAATAATAGATTATATATGTTTGGGCTTGGCAGAAGTGTCTCAGAAGAAGAGGAAGCTGGGAATCTATATACCAGGCTTGGCGTATTTGAGTCGAAATCGATAATTATCGATATGATACGATAGTTTTTGACTGCATTTAAAATATTTTGTGGCACTGACATATTCACAAAATGCCAGACTTGAGGGAAGAGCAGCCGGCATAAATTTATGACTTGAATCTATCTAGTCTATTCCAGCTAAATTTCCGAAATATCAGCTAATTATTTGACATAATAAACATTTCAATAGCTTAGCAAAGTTATAAATGTAACACGTTTTAATGGCTCTGGGACCGGCGAGTGCATAAGCTCGGCCCCAACTGGAACTCGGAGTTGCCTTTCAGCTAGAGGAAACCCACCCGGCGATTGAGCTAGTCCCTGCCGCAAACCCAATCTTTGGCTGTCGCCTGGCAAGGACCTGCGACGCTGTCACCACGTGGGCGCTGTCAACACTGCAATTACGAAACAATTTCGACAGCATGTTCTAAAATTGGAGAGCTGAAAGTGGAGCCGCTTCCCT